CCATTGTATTGTGCTAAAAAAAAACTGGCAGATCCCACTGTACAGTGGGAATCGATGATATGCGAAGCACGAATGAGAAAGGTTGATATGTCATTTTTAAATCAGCACAACGTTATGAGGTGGAAGTACATGAATTCCGTGTCATGATTATGATGTTTGGATGTGTCGTTTACCTTCGTCATCTGTTAACGTCACGTGACAACAAATTGAGTATACGTGGAGCTATAGTGAAACGACCACGAGCATGCCATGAGCGGGGTATGTTGTCATGTTCTTACATCACACGCGAGTAAGGATTATCATGTTTGCACCTGTCATATACATTCGCCATCCATTGACGTCACCTAACACCAAATTTGGTATATGTTGAGCTAGCAAAACGGTCGCGTGCACATTATGAAGGGCCCAATATACTCCAATGTAGCGCTAACGCACGCGCACGCTGGGCACAGCGACGTTACGTTAGCAAAACGCGAGCACTCTATAATCTGACGCCAGGCACGATCGGCACGACTAGCGTCCGTCGGCGCAGCCCGACAGCAACCAGTGTGAAATGCGGCATGCTGTATTTTGCGCCAACGCGTTACCCAGACAACACTGCGTCTCCCTCTTTTCGTGACAAATGAACGCCGGACGCGCTTGAGACACGCATGCGTCGCGCGGCGCACATCTGCGAGTATATGGCAGAATTGGCGCCTGGCGTCAAACGCCAGCGTGATGGGCCGAAATGAACGCCGGTGAGCATGCGCACCGCGTCACGTCGAAATGTATTGGCGCCTTAACTGTGGCATGTAGTCATGTTCTCACATCACACGCATCTCATGATTATTATGTTTGCACCAGTCACATACCTTCGTCATCCATTGGCGTCACGTAGCACCAAATTTGGCATATGTGAGGCTAGCGAAACGGCCGCGAGTGCATCATGAGTGTGGCATGTAGCCATGGTGTTACATGGCACGCATGTTGTGATTATCATGTTTGGTTGTGTCATTTACCTATGCCGTTCGTTCGCGTCACGTAATACCCAGTGAAGCTAGCGAAACGGCCTCGAGCGCATCAGGAGCGTACCATGTAGTCATGTTGTTACATGACATGCATCTCATGTTTATCACGTTTGCACCAGTATCATACCTTCATAATCCATTCACCGTAATAGCGAATTTGGTATATGGGACACTAGCAAAACAGCCGCGAGCGCATAATGAGCTTGGCATGTAGTCATGATTTTACATGACACGCATGTCATGATTTTCATGTTAGGGTCTGTCGCTTGTGTTCGCCATGCAGTCATGTCATACCATACCAGTTTTGCAACATGCCATGTGAATGAAACCACTGCAAGAGCTGCAGAACCATGAAATGTAAATCATGACATAGATGTCATGAAAACTTTTCGCATATGCATGTTCACCTTAGAAGGGAAAAGCCTTTCCTCTTCATAAAGTTAGTTATCTAGCACCTGCTCGCTTTAAACTGGCTCCGCATTAGACCTTTTTCTAAGACTAATTGCATAGCCCGCACTTGGAGCAGTTCTGTCGTCACGGGCCGCTTGCTGCTCAAGCACATACTCGCCGAGAAGCTCTTTAATTTGCGGGAACCGACCCTGCTGTGGTCCACTGAAGCCTTTGCGTGAAGCTTTGCTGTCGACAATCTTCTGCTTTTGTTTCCGCCGGTCCCGCACGCACGTTTTGGGAACTCCGAACGACCGCGATGCGGCCCGATTTCCGTCCGTTTCTGCACACGCGATGACTTTTGTTTTAAAAGCGGCATGGTGGTGCACTCGAGTTTTTAAAGTCGGCCCTTCCACGCCGTCGATGCTAATGCACTACTAGATGACAAACTCCTCAGCAAACGTACGAAGTGCCGCACATGGGAAACACATAGGCAGAAATGGCCGACGCGCCATGCCGACGCACGTAGGGGGCGGCCATTTTGGATTTGCCGATGGCAATAGATTGACCGTAATTTTTTTGTTCGTACTCGATTCTAACGCGCATGCGATTTATGAGCTTGCTTAACCGGAAAAAAGGTGCGCGTTAGATTCGAGTAATTACGGTATGTTCTTCATACAGCCATGCAAACCCATGTCAAGTTTGGTATCGATACCATTATCGAAACTGCCAGCAGGACATGAGCAACAAGAGAGAAGGCAGGGAGGTAAACCAGGCACATGCCCGGTTTGCTACCCTATGCTGGGGGAATGGGAAGGGGGCATAAAGATGAGAGAGAGGGGGAAAGAGAAGAAAAAGAGAGAGAAAAAAAAAAGGATTGTCAGTCAATGGACTGACCCGTATGCAGAGGTGGCACTACACAAAAGTTAAATATGTTCACACAGGCCTGTAGTCCACAAAAAGCACAAGACGGCTTTGACTGCTTTTTGAGCCGACGAAAGGCGAGGACGGTGTTCTAGTAGCATCTGCATAGAGAGTGCCCGATCGTGTAATTGCGGCAATGTGTCCGAAAGCCTCTGTCCTTCAGTGGCAAATCGAGTGCAATGGCATATCAGATGGTCGATGTCTTCTTCGGTGCCGCAGACGTCGCATTCCGCATTGTCGGTCCTTCCAATGAGGGTTGTATATGCTTTGTGTAGGCAACCCCCAACAAAAGGCGACAAACAAGCGAAGCTTCACGTTGTCGAAGTTCCAGTCGAGGGTTTATTTGGTATAGTCTCGTATGTCTTATGCTTGGGGTGTTCCCCTCCAGCAGACGCAGACTACGTGCCAGGTGACGAAGTTGATTTGCAACGTCTGTCCTTGACAAAGAAATTGGAAGGGCGTGCTCTTCTTGGTGCGACGTGCGAGCCACATTGTCTGCGGAATCATTGCCACTGATCCCACAATGGCCAGGTAGCCACTGAAAATTGACCTCGTGGCCCGTTTCTGTGACGTGGTGAAGAAGCTTGACAACTTTGTAAGTTAACTGTTCATGGCAATCTCATCGAAGAACTGACTGCATGCTCTGTAGGGCCGGTTTCGAGTCAGAAAACACAGCCCATTTACTCGGTCTCTAAGTTTGATATACTCTAGGGCGCCACGCAAAGCCGCAAGTTCTGCCGCCGTAGACGTAGTGACGTGTGATAGCTTGATTCGCGGAGTGATTACTCAAAGGAATCACCACCGCACTGCCAGAACCAGGCGCTGTGGTTGAACCATCGGTGTATATGTGCACGTGGTTAATGTACATTTCGTGCAGGAGGTGCAAGCTCAATTGTTTTAGGGCTGACGAAGGCAAATTTGTTTTTTTTCTGTATTCCTGGAATTGAAAGACGTACTAGCAGAAGTGTCAGGCAGCACGGAGGATACACCAGTTTCTCAGCAGGCGCAAAACTTGACGTAAACGACGCATGATGTGCACAGACAATTGCACAAATTTCGTGCGGGGCCTCTCAGTAGCAAGGGTTGCCAAGTGGTGGGAAGGATTCCTAGCATGTTACCTGAAGTACTTACGCATTGTTTCAATGGTGATGTGCGTCATGATCGAGTAGTCCTGTGCAATGGTAATTGTTTCAGCCGTCGATGCACAGCGGGGTAAACCAAGGCATATCCTAAGCGCCTGGGCTTGAATATTTTGGATTGTGCGCAGGTTCGTCGGCCAGGATAGCTAAAAGTCGTAGGCGGCTAGATAGATAAATACGCTCAAAGTCGCCGAAGTTCGCTAAGAAATGCTTCGCATTTAAAAGTTTAAAAAAGAGGATATTGTGTCGCGAGAAAGCACGTCTTTCTTCTCACACTGCTCGGAGTAAGCTGGTGACCTGCACCATTGTAAGGGCAGACCTCCACCACATTGCAAATGTTTTTACCACGCTGCCATGTTCAGTAGTGTCGCAATGAAATCATGCGCATTACTTTCAGGATTGACCCTGTATATGTTGAATGTGTGAGAAAAACCACCACGCCTACATGGAATGCGCAGCACGGAAAGCTGGAAGAGCCGCCTTTCTAGAACTTTTCCTTAACTCTCTTTCGGTAACTGCTATTTGCACACTTGCAGGGTGTCCACTACGCCATAAATCATCATTTTTGTGTAGTTAGGAGGCATCAACTATGCCATTATTTGTCATTATTAGGAGAAGCGTGGTACCCAATACACATGTACAAGGAATTTTGTGCAATTTTTTATGATGTTGAAAATGAATTACTATGCCTGAGGCTTTAGGTTGGAGCATTTAACGGCCTACTCGTTAGCATTACGAGGTGCTTGGTTGGTTCTTCACCGTTTTAAAATGCTCTATTACTCATATTACTTGATTCCTTAGAGGACATGAAGCCTGCCTAGGGTAAGTTGGCAATGTAGTTTCAAGCGCCGGTGTAGCCCCAGTGATATAATACTGGGCTGCCATGTTGAGGGCCCAAGTTCAAATCCCATTCTGCCCTCTGTGTGTTTTATATATTTAGTTGTTTTCTTATTTTGCACGATGGTAGTTACGGACAGCGGCGGCGACGGACAACTACGGCACCAAACCGACCCTTGTTGTGATCTCATCACAGCTATCGCTGTAAAGCTATAATTTAATGTCATTAGTAATATGCAAGTTTAATTGCTTTAGGTTATTGTTTGTATAATAGTCTCGATTGACAGTGGTGTGACAGCAGTCACTGTGAGCCAAGGAAAGATGAAAAATAGAAAATGGCACGAGTGTTAAATTGAAAGTTCATCCTGTCATTATAAATGTAAGAACATGTAGATTTGTTGAACAGGCTTTCCTGATTGATTGATTGATTGATTGATTGATTGATTGATTGAAGATGTAGCTCAGTCACCCCTGCAACATTCTAAAAGGGTTTTGCACAGTTCTAGATACACAAGTCTAAAGTTTCAACAAAATTATTTACATTCATGCTGTCTCATAGTTTATTGTGTTCTCGCATTTTGAGACATGCAGTGAACTTGTCGGTGCTCCAGAGACTGTTCACGTTCTGTATGTAATGATATGCCATAGATATTCTGCACCCAAATCATGATGCTAGTTTCTCTCAACATCCTTTGATTTCTTTCAGTGAGGTTGCTGAACAAGAAGCAGAGCATCTCATAATGAATGCAGATACTGACAATGATGGCAAGCTTTCCATACAAGAAATTATTGACCATCATGAACTCTTTGTTGGAAGTGAAGCGACCGACTACGGCGAGCACCTACACAACACCAGCCGTTTCAGTGATGAGCTTTAGGGTCGCGTCGTCGTTTTGTGTCTTGTGTACGTTCTTCCTGCGAGTTTGTGGGTGCAGACTGAAGCGACTCCGGGTGTGTGACTATCCCTCGTGAAAATCGTGTTTTATATGAACTTTTTCCTTGCTTGTGTAAGTTTGCATTGTGTCATATTTTTGCATCAGGCAGGCGTGTCATTGGATGCTTCCGGCAAAGTGAATGATTGCACAGACAGTTCAAGACCAAAGCTGTAATAAAGAATCTCTATGCCTTCTGTACAAGTGTTCTGCTTTTTTTTAACAGGAAACTGACACACTTCTTCAAAAATTGTGATCCTTCTAAGCAACTGTTCTAATACCCCTGTCACACGGCCACCACCAAACTCCGTTGAACACCGTCAACGTACATCTCTCCTAGGGGGTTCGACGGAGAAGGAGTTGTGGCAGTGACACACGGCATTGTGACGGCAACGACAAGGTTGTAACAGTTGCCGCGAGGGGGCTCAGCTGGCGCTGTTTGATTTTCGGAAAAGTATTCTAATTTGACCCCTATTGATTTTTTCGTTAATTCTCGTTATGCGGTTTTTACAAAAAAGCACTATTAAGTAAGTACCGTATATACTCGTGTAAGGGCCGCCCTCGTGTAAGGGCCGCACCCCAACTTTGAAAGCGGATATTTCGAAAAAAAAAAAACAAAAGTTCAAAATGTCCCGCCAGAAAAGTGTAGTTAGTTCATTTACAGCCAGATGGCGCTGCACGCTTTTCCGCTTTTATTCTACTTCCGCCGACGCGCCGACCACGCTGTTGACAGCGCGCCGCCATATTTGCCTTGTGCGGCCTCTTTGTTGGCATCGTTCCTAGCATCGTGTCGATACGTTGGCAGCGCGACTTCAGATCGGTGTCGTCGGTGTCACTTTGTTGGTTGTAGTGAACCCTGCAGAAGCCAGCGCACGTGACGGACGATGGGCCGGCATCTGAGATCATTCACTGCAGCATTTAAGCTGCAAGTGATTGACTATGCCGAGGAGCACGGGAAGCGGGAAGCTGGACGAAAGTACGACGTCGATGAGAAGCGCGTGCGTTACTGGATGAATCAGAAAGATGCCCTCGCCGCTACTAACAGGAGCCGAAAGGCGTTTCGCGGGAAAAAGTGCAAGTACCCGCAACTCGAAAGCGAGCTCGTCAACTACGTCGTCGACACACGAAGGGACGGCTACGCCGTATCGACTGACATGATACGCGTCAAAGCCCTCAGCATCGCTCGCCACATGGAAATACCCCCGGCACAATTCAAGGCAAGTCGGGGCTGGGCTACGCGGTTTATGAACCGTAACCAGCTTTCTATTCGGCGCCGAACGACGATTTGCCAAAAACTGCCGCGCGAGTACGAAGACCACGTCATTAAGTTTCATCGCTTCGTGAATGCTCTCAGGAGGGAGCATGAATACGACCTGTCCCAAATTGGGAATGCGGACCAGACACCTGTGTGGTTCGATGCACCGGAAAGCACCACAGTGGATTTAAAAGGTGCGAAAAGTGTGTCTGTGCGCACGACTGGTGCAGAACGCCAAAGGTGCACTGTGATGTTGTGCATCACGGCAGACGGCAGGAGGCTTCCGCCGTACGTCGTATTTAAAAGGAAGACTCTCCCAAAAGAGAAGTTCCCTCAGGGAATCGTCGTACGTGCGCAAGAGAAGGGCTGGATGTCCGAGGAACTGGTCGTTGACTGGATTAAGACCGTCTGGGCAAACAGACCTGGAGGGCTGTTACAACGGAAAGCCCTCCTTGTTTTGGACAGCTTTAGGGGCCACTTGACCGACCGCGTCAAGAACCGAGTTGCCGCAACTCGTACGGACTTGGCCGTCATTCCCGGTGGCCTGACGAGTGTGCTGCAGCCGCTCGACGTATGCGTCAACAGACCATTCAAAGTGGAATTTCGCCGATGTTACTCTGAATGGATGGCTGGAGGCGTCCACGAGAAGACCCCTACAGGACGGCTGAAGCGGGCGTCGCTCCAACAGGTGTGTGAATGGATTTTGAATGCGTGGCGTGCCATGTCAGTAGAAGTAGTTGCTAAAAGCTTCAAGGTAACGGGAATTTCGAACTCCATGAACGGCACCGAAGATGACCGTCTCTGGGAAGACGCGGACGCCGAGGCGAGCTCCTCCGAGAACGAGGACAGCGAAATGGAATCCGAATAAAAACATTTCTGGCATGTCATTTGTGACTCTTGCACTCTGCTACTGTTGCATAAACAGTACAGACCTTTGGCCTGTACTGCCTGTACTAAATCGGCCTGATTCGTGTAAGGGCCGCACCTAGCAAAATTTTCGAAAAAAAAGTGCGGCCCTTACACGAGTATATACGGTATGCGACTAACAAACCATTAAAAATAATTTCAAATAAAAACGCATTTGCTAAAGGTAGCAATGCTGCTAGTGACGCTGGCCACATTCTGCTTTTAGTTGTTTTGTTGCCTGTGTACCAGCCCGATACGAAAGTTCGTGTGCTTCCTTGCCTCGTGAGCGCACATTTTGTGTTATTCAGCCAATAGTGACACAGCGGATGACGTGAGGAAGTGGTACCATATCGCGCGGGTAATGACGTTGATCGGCTGGCGCCGGCCGGCCCGACTCGTGACTCGTGAGGCACGGTGTGTAGGGCATCGGTGTTGAGAGTAAGTGAACTCTGGCGGGCGTAAATATTTGTAAACAAACACGCGTTGTGAATGAGTAATACAACAAAAGAACGTTTAATATTGCTAAAATGTATTATTCTTTCACTGCGGCCACTTAGTGCTCGAAATTTTTCTCTGACCTCTAGACTGCTGAGGACGAGAGTACCTCGTTTCGCTGCGAAGGGAGATCGTTGAACGTCCTTTGCGAAATGCTCCGTTCACTTTCGTTTGCGTAAGGGTGGCCGTGTGACACCAACCACATCTTCGTTGTCATAAACACGAGGGAGTTAAACGGTCTTCACGGGTGCCCGTGTGACAGGGGCATTAAAGTGTGGTTATTTCCTTTAACAATGCTGCCTACAAAAAACCTAGTCAAGTGCAAAGGCATGCAGTTCAATTGTGCAAAGTATGTATGTTTTCAATATTACGTCAAGGGTAACAAGCTGAGGCATAAATCATGAAGCTTTACATCTCAAGCCTGTTCTCCGAAGCACCACTGCATTTTGTTGTTTACCAAGGCATCCAGTACCCATTGTTTCTTTTTTCTCTTGTCAGTGCATCACTTGATAAACATGTCTAACAAGCTGCTTCACTAATTGATTGCCTAGATCTCCTTAGGAAGGAATGTGGGTGGATGTCCTTCTGCACAAGTACGCTGTCATACATTTGATATGTTTTCTGCCCTACGTATTGCAAGCCGTATTTTGTCACTGCAGACGCCCTCTGCTCTTGTCGCTGAACCTTTACATAATGCTACCCGTCACGGACTCTTTTAGAATCAGGGTGTAGTTTTTCCACACAACACAATTGTAAAACTTAAAGCAGATAACGAAAGTATGCAACACTCTGTATAAACAGGAGGTGGGCATATCACCCAGACACAAAAACTATGCAATCGTAAAGCCATTTCATGGCATTAGCGTAGCCTGATGAATAGGCCTATGTTAATGGGTTAGTGTTGAAGAGCTCACTTTATAAAAATTCTGCCCTCGGTGTTGGTGCTGTTGGTTGTGAGTGAAAAATCAAGAAAGTTGCCAATAAAATGATAAAGATTTCCACATTTGAGTGAGCATCGAACCCAGGCCGTCTGCGTGGCAAGCACACATGCTACAATAGAGCCATGAAAGTTGTTGAAACTGCTTTGTATAAAGCACTCTATGTGAATGTCATATAGTGGATTGAGTCTCCTTAATCAAGCATGATATATTTCAAGGCAGAAGCGTAGAATTGCACCAGGCATCAAAAGATTTGAATCGAGCTACGAGTGGGTGTTCAAAGGCCCACCCATTATAAAGCTGTCATATATATTTAATTATCATCATCAGTAAAACCATCAATAAAGTGAACACCCAATTTATCGCGTACCTTAGGGACATTCCATTTGCTCATTCCCAAACATGTACGAGTGTGGTTACCAGGCCATAGAGGTTTAGCATTCAATGAATGTTGTAGATGTTGTATAAAAATCATCCCATGATGCCCTGTTTTGTCTGTAGTGCCTACATCGGCGTATATCGCAGCAGCAGGATTTGAAAAGTGTGCCGCCGTCAATAACTTTGATGAATCTTCTTTATTTTTATTGGATTTTCAACCGCTGAAGTTCCTTTGGAAGAGCAGGTGGTGTTTATTGAGAAAGGAAGAAATAGTAATTACAAGGCTACATTGTCGAGCTCACCACTAAACTTTTACCTTCACAGGTGGGTCTGGCCCAGTCACCCTTATGCCTTCCCTGTAATGAGAGTGAATCGCTGGAGCAAGTCTTTTTGACGTGCTGAAGATTTAAAATACTAGGAAAAAGACTTCTAGAAGAACCGCTGCGAAAGTTGGACTTGAACTTGTCACTTTCAGTGATTTCATTTGGTGCAACCATATTAGGTTTTAGCCACAGGAGCGTTTTCAAAGCTGTAACTAACGGTTTACTGGAGTAAAAATTTAGTGGGAGGTGTAGCCTAATTCATTTGCCATAGTTATAGTAGTCGTGTAAATTTCTTTTGGGGTTTATGATTTTATTAGTCTAAAGGGTTTTCTTTTGTAATCTTGGGAGTTTAAATTAATAATATGTAGTGACTAAACAATTAATTTTGAACCCATTCCCTCAGTAAGTGTATCAGTTTACTAAGCATGGCACGATCCGATTCATGGACCCATCCCCCAGAGTGGGTTATGCCAAGATGTCGAGGAAGCAACCAACCAACCAAGGTTTTTACGTTGCCCTATGGACGTGTAGTGGGCCCTTCGCTGACTCGCAAAAGAAATAATCATGGCACCATGCACACTCTACAGTGCTTGCAATAGGCATTCAGTGATACTGTGAAACGGCCATTGTTACGCACACAGTCGTTTGTTCCCTTACAGCACGGTTGAAACATCTACCAAGAACCGAAGCTGGTTAGCAGTTCAAAAGGCGATGCATGCTCGCGCATGAGTGACGTACTCTTGACAGTGAAGATGTCGTTACCGAATGTTTCACCCCACATCATTCCTACCAAATGCATCCCGAAAAATTTCACTAGGATTCATGGATAACTGATAGTACACACACACTGGGGATGATGAAAACAAGACATGCTTTTCTCATCCCCATCTGTGTGCAGTGTAGAAC